GAGGTGCGTTTGTATGGTTTCTAATTTAGGTAACGTTTGCTTACTGTCTTTCAAAGCTAACGTCTCGATTCTTCGTAACCATTGCAGATACGGTTTCCAATCCATGGTGCACTGCCTGAGCACCTGGTTGACTCAGACGCAGATGGAGCACATCGCCTCGTCGCCCTTCCTCGGCTTGAGCACAGACGAGAGCACCGACCGGACCCGCGGGAAGCACATGATTGTGTACATCACGTTCTTGCGCAACCGTCGAGTCGTTACTGAGTATCTCACCCTTCTTACTGTCGAGCGGTGTGATGCAGCTTCTCTCTTGTCGGTGCTCCTCAACCACCTACACACCGCCAGCATTGACATCAACCGAGTGGTGGGCATCAGCACCGACGGTGCGTCTGTAATGATTGGATGTGACAACGGCCTCGTCACAAGACTGCGGGAGCATGTGCCGCATCTCGTGTCAACACACTGCATCGCCCACAGGTGATATAATCTTTTACCGCACCTACATCTTGCTTTTTGTACAGCGCCTCACGAAGACCCCGACGGATACTAATCATTGGCTGGATGTACAGGGAGGCATTGGCGGTGAAGGACGCGGCCGCGGCTAATCCCGACCTCGCGATGGTGGACACCGTGGTGCGCACTCTTGCTGAACGCCTTGGCGCCTCATGCCACTGGAGCCAGCGCTTCAAGTACCTTCAGCGCGTCATATACAACACAAACCTCGAGGTCCAAGGCATACACAGCGTGCGCTGGCTCTCCCGGGGCGACGCGGTGAAGCGTCTGTGCAAGGTGCTGGGTGCGGCGACTGTGCTCTTCCACGAGAAGGAGCACGACTTGTACGAGACGGTGACGTCGTACAAGTTTCAGTTCTGCCTCTTCTTCCTCGCTGACATCCTCGGCGATCTGAATGATCTCAACCGTTCGTTTCAGAAGCGGCAGGTGAGTTTGCGTTTTGTGGGTGGCTATGTTTTTTGTTTCATCGTGTCCTAATTCCCTAGTTGTTGTGGACAGGTCGACGTTACAGAGGTCTCAAAGACCGTGGAGTCCATCACTGGCGACCTCGAGCACAGGTACCTGGACAAGAAGGCGGACTTCGGTGGTTCCGGCAACGGATGGCTGCCGAAATTCCTGTCGCTGTATGGCAAGAAGTCGGGTCAGACGGTCCGAGTGCGTGGCTCGGATTCGGAGGGCCGCCCTGTGAACCACTCGTACATCCTGCACGAGAGGAAGCTCAAGGACCATGAGTACAAGAGCGGCTACAAGGCGTGCGTGAAGCTGTGCCGCAAGTTCGCGACGGACGTCGTCGATCGTCTCCTGTTTCGCCTAGACGACCTGCGGGGGATGGGTCCAACGAAGCTATTTCGCGCGTCTCAATGGCCCAAGAGCAAGCACGCACGAGACCGCAAGTGCCACGACTGGCTGACTGGCTGCGCCGCTCTGTTCAAGAACAAGCTGCCGGGGTTTGATCACAAGAAAGCGTCGCACGAGCTGGCAACCTGGTGCCCAATCATGGAGTCTCACCACGAGGACGAGTCATTCGCGCAGGGACTGGCGAACTTCATGGGGAGCGGCGACGCCAAGAGGTAAGTCCACCTAGTCTGTGTGTGCCACATGCATGTCTCAAATCTAACGCTTCGGGAAACCTGATGCTCCTTGTTTTGTGCAGACGCTGGCCCAACCTATTGCTGATGTGGCATGCGTTGGCAGTCCTGCCACTCTCCACAGTGGAGTGCGAGCGGGGGTTCTCGCGTCAGAACGTGATCAAGTCGTGGATCCGTGGGTCTCTCTGCAACGCGCGGCTCGCGGAGCTGATGCAGATCTCGCTGCTGTAGTACGAGATGGACTGGCCTGGGGTGCTCGACACCTGGAAAAGCCTCAAGAAGAGGCGCCCTGCGCAGAGCGTTCTGTTCCCTTCTGACGATCGCAAGCGAAAGGAGAAGGAACTGGAGGAGGTAGAGGAGGAACCCAGGGAGCCGGCGGGCGAGGAGCTCGCGGAGTCAGACGATGATCGTGACGACAACCCGGAGATGGATCAGGAGATAGAGCAGTCACCGCCCCGAGATTACTTAGAGGAAGATGATAACCCGTTCCTCTCGGATGGCGAGGAGGGGGACGAGATGTATGACATAGATCAGCCGAAAAAGTAGGATTCTTGGTGCTGTCTTGTGTGAACCCTTAACCCGGCCGGGCATTGTTGACAGTGCTTGTGTAATAATTAACAAATGATAGAAACAGCACTCTGATCATAGTTCGCCAACCCTGTGACCACAGGGAAAGGGTTTCCTGGAGACTGAGCCATCAGAGTGGCCAAAATCTGGCCGAAGTGCCCTCAGAGTAATTTTTTTTTTTTTTTTTTGCACCATCAGTGTACCCAAATTTGAAACGTCAGCCCTGGACTCCTCGTCTTCGTACTCGGTAGAGTCGGCTCCTGCAGCATACAGGAATGCCTTCTCAGATGAAATCATATCGTAACAAAAGGCTTGTGAAAAAGGTAATCTCATAGGTCGACGTCGATGTGTTCACAAAATGCAAAGACTGACAGATGTAGGATGCCTGGTAGTAGGTATCGAGTACGAAAGGCCCTAATAGATTAGATGTATGGATTATTTTAAAGCTGTGCCTGTTATCGTTTCAAACGTTTCGTTTCTATGAGTGTTGTCTGATTTGCTGAAGCACACAAGTGAACGGATCACTTGGAGCTCTACATTCGCGATGTTGGAAATGGGCGAGAGAATCAAGTATCGTAAGAGTTTGGGCCCCAATTACAGATGCCCCACCCAGAGGCTTGTGTTGTGTTGCGGCTGTTGACGCTCTGTTGTTTCTGAGCGATGTACATAATCACCTAGGTAGACTACGTCACACTTCATTGGGTAATTACGGCTCGAACACCCTGAACGTCAGTTGTCAGAACTTGAGAGAGCGGACCACTCCTGCATTTACTGAGAGAATCTCACACTGACCAGAAAAAACCAAGGTTTTCTGAGTGCTTGCCCTGCCTCGCCTCCTCTTGGGCTCTGATGTGCGGAACGAGCGGTGAAGGATTGATGCAGTTGGCGACACGCACGCACAGCCACTTGAGAGTCCAGGGAATTTGAGTTTGCTGACGCAGTGTTGGTGGATTACTGGTTCGCGTTTCGCAGCGTACTGTGGTCTCGCGCTCCACCATCCAGCGACGGATCGCTCATCTCCAAAGCGCTCTTCACATTCGCCCTAGCCAACCAATTGTGAGGCGAAGCGCCTCAATAACGCCAGCCAGAAAGATTAGATTACCGAGCCGAAAACAGAGAGGCTCGGCAGCATCACTGCTGGGGGATAAGTCTGTACAGTGGAACGAGGTTGTCCGCGTGCAACATCCGAACCGAAGATGTGAGTAGCTGACCTCCGGGATCTGCCCTTGGGATCATAAAGCGAAGTGGTGTGGTTGATCAAATGGCTGGAGGTGGCATGTGCGTTGCGATAGGGAAGTTCCGAAGCCACTTTGTCCATCCGTTGGAGCTCTGGGCAGAACCAGTTGCACCAATCATGATCCCATCACCGTCTCAGTGGTGTGATCCTTCCCAAGGATATTCGCAGCGAAGCAAGGACGGACGGGGAGGTGTGGCACCATACCAACCACCACAGCGAGCATTCCCGAAGGACCGAAGCGAGTCTTGAGTTCCTCCCATTCGCCAGGGAACGCTTTATCCACGAGGGACTCACTCCGTTCTGCCTGCCGTGCTGGACTGAGTCTGCTTCAAGCTGCCCTCCCCCAATTTGTTGATCCTGAATCTCCAGTCAGCAGCATTACCTGAGGTAGCACAGTCACGTTTCTCCCTCTTATCCAAGTCTGGCATAGCACATTGAAGACATCAACTACCAGTTGGCCATCTGTGACATTCAAGGGATCTCAAAACATCCCTTCTTGTTTTCAGGAAGCCATGACTCAAGCAGCAGTAATTCCTGCTTCTGTTTCCTCAGGGAAATTCCTGAAAGGAAAGCCTGTTTTTCAGAAGCCGGAGCAGTCTAAGATAACGCTTACACGGTCGCCATCCGAGGCAGAGATTGTAAATCACAAGGCGAAGACGCAAGAACAGCCACAACAAAAGCAGGCAGAGAAAATGGCTTCGTCCCAGAGCTTTCTGGATTCTGCCTCTATCACCGCTCCGGCATTCCCTCGTCCAAAACGAATGTGCGACTCGTGCGTGACCGAGCCTGCGACACTCTACTGCGCAGCTGACGACGCGTACATCTGCGACGTGTGCGACGGTTTCGTCCATGGAGCCAATCCTCTTTCTCAGCGGCACGAGCGTGTCAGGTTGGGCCCTAACGGAGCTCCAGTTAAGATTTTCCGTCGCGCCGGTGGTAATGGTAACGGCAACGGAAACTCCGAGTTGCCTGCGATGGTTCGGGGATCAGGCATCGTTGCGACGATGCGAAACTCTCCAACAACCGACGCAACAGCGTCGTCCACTGTTACCAACGTCGCGGGTCTAAAATCCTCGAAAGCCCGATCACCCATCAAGGAGGAAATGCTCGTTCAAGGAGGAACAGTAGCACCTGGTGAAAGTAGAAAGCGACAACAGCAAAGTATCGGGACTGCCAGAGCAAAAACTGGTGCTATCGCAAAGCCGGAGCCTCAAGTTCACTCCTGGGAGCCAGCATTCTCTTCGCACTGCGCGCCGATCGTCCCGCCATCACAAGGAGGACGAACTGGCAACGGTCAGCGAAGCGGCCCCACGTCTAACGCAGCGCCAAGAGGAGCCTCCGCTTCCGCTGCGGCTTGCGGGGCTTCGGATACTTCTCGAGCTTCTCCGCGGGGTGTTTCCGCTGTCCCTCCTCCCCCGCACTGCTACTGGCGGCCCGACGATTGCTCCGCGCAAGGGGTACGGCCTACGCCCCCCTACGGCCCCGGCATGATCCCTCCCTACATCCCCCCGCCGCACATGGCCCCTTACCCCCACCCCTGGGTTGCGCCGCCTCCGCTCCCCGGCGTCGTCTACCCTCCGGGGCCCTGGGGACCCATGTACGGACCGCATATGGGAATGCCTTATCTGGGAGCTGCTCCTAGCGAGTACATGGGGCATCCGGGGGACTACGCCGCCGTTCCCCATCACCCGCACTTGGCGGAGGGCATGCGAGGCCCGCGGCCTTCGAAGAAGCAAAAGCGGAGCGGCGCACATATTCCGCCGATAGGCGCAGCGGCTGTCGCTGGGAGCACGGAGCGCAAAGTGAAGCAGGAAGCGGAGGGGGGAGTCGGCGGAAGGCCGGCGGAAGGGACGGCGGACGATGCTTTCTTGGATATCCTGTCGTTCGATGATGTGGACCGGTTCTTTGTAGATGAAGCTAATGAATGCACGCCAGTAGTGGACGGGCGCACGGGAAGAGAAGTTCCAGACGCTCCTCAGATTCCACATGACCACTGCGCGCAGCAGTCGCAGACGCAGCAGCCTGCGCGGGGGTTAACGGCTACAAACCCTGTCAGCCTCGGCACGAAGATTAGCGCCGACGCGATAGTTGCGCCGTCGTTCAGCCGCGCGAGCTCCAGCAGCGGCTGTGGCGCAGGCGCGGCGCGCGCGAGCGGCGCGGGGGAGAGTGCGAGCGGAAGAGACGCGGAGATGGAGGGGGAGGGGGAGGTGAAGCTGGAGACGCAGGGATTAGAGGAGTTTATCATCAGTTACGGGGAGGAGGAGGGCGAGACGGAAGGGTGGTTCGTGGGAGGGTGGGGCTTGGACGAATCTGCAGAGGCGGAGAGTGAGGTCGATGTGGAGCCTCTTGAAGGCTCCCCCACCGCGGGGGACGCCAGTGGCGCAACCAGCGAGAGCGCGGCCGCGCTAAACCCCCCTAAGGCGCAGCTCGGGAAGCGGCCCCGCGCGGAGGACGTGTTCGGTAGCAACAGTGGTGGTCCCGCAGCGGAAGGCGTGGATGCAGAGGGAGGGATGGCGGTGAAGCTGGGTAGTCGCAAGGAGCTGCAGCAGCAGTCACCGAGCCTGCGTCTGAACTATGAGGACGTGATCAGCGCGTGGTCCGACCAGGCGCCTGAAGGCCAGTCGCCGTGGATTGAGCAGGAAGAGGAGGAGGGCGCCAGTGCGGAGAAGCGCGACGGTCTTAATCGCCCACTGGTGAGACACATGTTACTTCCCTTGTTGTGCGCTGCTTCCCCCTGTTACTGTTTCTTCTCACTCCCTATTTGGAAACGTCGCCTTGCCACTCACCCCACCTCTCATTGGCGTGGTCAAATCTGAGTGCTGAAGTGAACATTCAAAGCCTTGTGCGCCAATAGCACAAGAGAGGGATGCACTTGTAGCGTAACGAGGAACCAAAGATGCGAATTGAACACGGGGTTACAGAGTTGGTGGGACTAGCAAGCCAAGGCGTAGAGGAGAACCCGAATAGCAAGTCTTAGCCTGGGCACTTAGGACAGGCGAAGTCTAAGTGGCTTATACAAGTAGTATGCACCGATGGCATTTTGTGTGCCATGCAGATAACAGCCACTTCGTCATATTTCATCCACGAGCCAGAAACAACCCCCCAACCAAATCGCGCTTCTCACAATCGTTTCCCCATTTCTCTCTGATTCCTGTTGCTGTGCAGCTTGCCAACCTCCCTGGTCTCGCCACAGCCTCTCCTTCATTACCCGGCTGCGCTCAAGACACCGACGTGGCCAGTCCGGGTGAGCAATGGGGCGAGCAGCAGCATGAGCAGCAGCCTGCGATGGACAGTGACACATTTGAGCTTTTCTCCAACGAGGGCAGGGAGGCCCGTGTGATGCGTTACCGCGAGAAGCGCAGGAACCGGCTCTACTCCAAGAAGATTCGATATGAAGTGCGCAAGGTCAACGCCGACCAGCGGCCCCGTGTGAAGGTACAGTGCTTCCGTCCTTCATGCATGGCATTTTTCCAGGCCAGTACTGCTCCATAATGTTGTTGGCAACTCTTGCAGTATTTGTCATGCTGACAGGTTCCATTTCTTTTTCCTTTGGTTGCAGGGGCGCTTTGTGAAACGAACGGAAGTGCTCTCCCAAGTGTAGCCTGCTCCATCCTGGCTGTTGCGCTGATTTCTGCTTTTTGGAAATGACCCATCTTGCTGGTTTCTCCCACCATCAAGGCGTGCTGTGCTACTGTGGCGAATGGAAGATGCTGTCTTGCTTTCTCTGCTCTGAAGCACGAGTGTGCCAATTTTTGAGGCGGTTTGCCGCGCGGACGTCGATGACGTTTGCCATCACGCCAGCCTTGTTTGAACTCCACAGCTGTCATGCGCCCCTTGCGACTGGATCCTGACTTGGAAGGCATTCGCAGGATGACGGTGCACGCCATTCTTTTTGCAAATGTGCAAAATTGCAGATGCGAACGAAACTCGGCCCGCTATTTCTGTTCTCGTTTTCCTTGTGTGGGCTCAACTCTACAGTGTGTGGAGTGTTAAATTTTGTGTAGGGTAGTTAGATGTGTGGTGTGCCAAATAACAATCAGTGATTGTATCTAATCGAGACATAATGTCATGCTTGATCAACCTGTGGAACTTAGAGATCTACTGAGGGAAATGGTTAGGTTTTGGTTTTGTTTCTCAAAAGTTGCATGTATGGTAGTATTGCCTAGATGCCTTATATGGCGGTGATATTTTTTTTTCAGTTCTTGAGCGCATAACGAAGTCTCAAAATTCACCCTTCATCCATTCCACAGCTACATTTCTTTCACGCCGCATAAGACTTGACATGGCGGCAAGTAACTCTTTCCTACCTTCGATCGCCTCGTTGCTAATTCTCAAATCCACGTCCGCATTACGGATCTCCATTTCCTCAGCTTCTAACAGCCCACCCGCACCATGTCTACCTCCCTGCAGCACCGCCATCGTTATTTTTTCGTCCGTTCGCGCTGCATCGCACAGACAGCCGCGCGAACCCGGGGGACTGGATGAGTCGCTAGACGCGGGTCCCGATAAGCTCTCGCAGAAATATGTATCGCTTCGGACCGGAAATCAAGAGGAGAGGCAGCGCAGCAGAAAGAGTGCCGAGAGGCCGCGTGAGAAGGGGAATGGGAAGGAGAAGGCAGAGCGGGACCTGGAGAACCAGGTGAAAAAGTCGCAGGTTCCGATAAGCAAAGACAGGAAGTATTTTCGGCGAAGACGGAGCTTCAAATGGAAAAGGCCTATTGGGGAGGAGAGCACGCCGCGAGATGGCGTGACAGGGACAGGGGATCGGGTCAGCAGTGGCGCTGGCAGCAGCAGCAACAGCAGCAGTGGCAGCGGCGGCGGCGGTGAGAGGAGAGCAAGGACGGAATCCAGAGCCTCGTTAAGGCCAGGTTCGGTATCCGAAGTGAGCGATGCAGACCGGAACTTGAGCGTTGGTGGAATGGAGGAGTGGGAGGACCTCCACGGGCCAGTTGGGTTTGAGTTCCCCGTGGGTGGCAGCCGCAGCAGCGGTGCCAGCAGCAGCAGCGGCGGCAGCAGCAGCGGCAGTAGGAGCAGCAATGGGTTAGGTGGAGCGTTATTGGCGGGTGATGGGGGGTTGCAGGGAGAGGAGGTGCTGGAGCTGATGCGCATGGGGGAAGGCGGAGGGATGGATGATATGTGGACCGATGATGAGGCTCGGACATGGTCCGATGCAGGACGAGATGATTGGAGTGATGCAGAGGACTGGGGCGCTGCAGAAGAGTGGCGGGTTAGAGACGCTTGGGGAGAGAAAGAGAAGTGGGGCGGTGACAAGGAGTTGAATGGGAGGGAGGAATGGGGGGACACGGAGAATTGGAGGGCAGGGGCGGATCGTGAGCGTGAGCGTGAGAGGGCACTGGAAGCTCAAGTGCAGGGCCAGATTCGCGGCCATGAGGCTGACTTGTCAGGGCTTGCGTTTGCGGAGCAGCAGCAGGCAGGGTTGCCGTATGCTGTGGGGCTGGCTTCTGTACAGCAACCACTGGACCTTCTGTGGGCCGACGAGCTCAGTGGGGGGCAGTGGGACGGTGGAGGGGAGATGATGGGAGAAAGCACCGGATTGATGGGTCTGGAGAGTGTGGGTGAGAGGCAGAGAGAAGAGGGGGGGGATGGGGAGGGAGGTGGGAGGAAGAAGAGGGAGAAGGGAGCGAAGGTTAAAGTTGTTGACCTGGGCAGGTTGAAAGAGAAGCTGGAAGGGTTCTGTGAGGAGCAGGGGTTGGAACCAGGCACAATGCCGACACGGGGGATTTTGCGGGCAGCCCGGAGATCGGATATTGAGAAAGAGATTCAGTTTGCAGGGGGAGTGCATGCAGTGGCGCAAAAGCTCAACATGCAAGTGGCAAGGAAACCGAGAGGGTACTGGGATGACCTGGCGAATCTGAAACAAGAGGTGAGAATGCGGGTTACAGTTTTATTTGTGATTGCGTCGCTTGCAAACGATGCGTTAAGCACTTGGTTGGGGTGGTAAATATTCAAGTCCCCTGCGTTGGGTTCACAATTGACTTTCTTTCATTCTCTCCTCACTCTCACCGCGTTTTTCACAACAGGTGCTTCAGTTTCAGATGGATCATAACCTGCCGCACAACAAGATGCCGTCACGCATGCTCCTACAGAAGCACGGTCAGTATCTCTTGTAGAGTGTGATGTGATGCCATGCCATCATGAAGCTTTTCTTCGTTACGCACACTCTATTAAACCGCCTCTTTTACATTCTTGTCTTGGTTGTGTTCCCAGGTAGGGGAGACTTGGCGAGGACTTTTGAGAAGTGGGGAGGGTTGCATGAGGTGGCACGGATGTTGGATCTGCTTCCAAGATTCAAACGGCCTCGAAACCCACGATCAGGCAAAACAGCTGCCTTAGAAAAGCAAGCGGAGGAAGAAGTGGTGGAGGGCAAGGCAAATTCCGTGGTTACAAGTGCTTCTAGTGGAGAAGAGGCGGAGTGGGCGGTGGCTAATAAGAGAGAGAAAGCGAAGAAAGATTACCCGGTTAAGGCTGCAGTGCCGAACAAGTCTAAGAAATGGTACTCCATCACAATCGAGGAGACTAGCGACGAAGAGACCGAGGATTTGGATGACAATTACATGGAAGAATATATTTGAGCTAGATAAATATATAAATATAGGCCGATGCCATGTAGTGAGTCTTCATTATTGTTGGACTATATTGGGCCTTTTCATTAAAATAAAACACTATGATGTCTATACAGCTCCAACCTTAATCTGGAATATCTTGTGCTGCTACAGCTTTCTCTCTGCTAATAGTGGATATTTCTAACAAGATGATCGCATGGCACGTCCTTCCCCTCGCCGCCTGCAACGGTTCAATTTTGAACAGGCTAGGTTTCCATTGCGTGCCCATTTTCGTTATCACGATTATTTCCGTGGATCTTAGGGGAGCAATTAGACACCTATTTTGACGTAGCGTTTGCTCCTTCGAACACATGGGTGCCCTACGCGTTTAGTGTTCCTAGTTTCAGGAGAGTTCGCGCATTGTCAGTAGGTACTTCATATTTCTTAACTCCGCAATTATCGTTTCATGGCTGGTCGAGGAAGACAAATGGCTGTCGTCGGGGGAAGGGGAACCCCGCCAGCTCCCCCGTCGCATCTCATCCGCCCGCCACTCCCCCCTGGGCCTGCGCTTATCCCCGGCGGGCCTCAGGGGCAGGTGCTTATCCGCCACCCCCAACCGCCTCCCCCGACGATGTTGCTCCCCGTGGGCGCGGGGAGCATCGAGGCGAAATTCGCGGCGCAGCACGGGGAAATTCAACAGCTTCTGACGGAGAATCAACGGCTGGCGGCGACGCACGTGGCACTTCGTCAGGAGCTGGCGGCGGCGCAGGGTGAGATCCAACGGACGAAAGCGACGCTCGCGGCGGTGCAGATGGAGAAGGATCAGGCGGTGCGGGGAATCATGGAGCATAAGGCCAAGCTCGAGGCAGACCTAAGAGCTGTCGGTGAGCAGACCTAAGAGAAAAAAGACATTGAGACGCGCGTTTAGGGGTTTAAAGTGTTTAATCCGTATTGTTTCTCCCCATGTTTGATTGTTGCCAACCCCGTAACCCCTGAACTTATTCTACGAGTTTCTCCGCTGTTAAAGCCCTGCTTTTGGTTGGTAAAAAATAATATTTTCTGGTTTCCCGCGGTGGTCCGCGCAGAGCCTCTGCGCGGGGAGCTGCATCGTGCGCGCATGGAGCTGCAGGCGCTGCAGGCGCGGGGGGGGGAGGCGGAGGCGGGGCGCGCGGAGATGCAGCGGCAGATGAGCGCGATGGGCGGCGACATGCAGCGCATGCGGAGCGACCTGGAGGGCATGCGGCAGGAACTGATGCAGGCCAGGTGCGCGGGGTGTGAGGGGGAAGGGGAGCGGTGAGAGGGGAGGAGATGGGGAAGGGGGATGGGGAAGGGGATATGGGATGGGGGGGGAATGGGGGGGGGGGGAATGGGGGAAAGGAACGCGTATGCGGTCTAGAGGCCATGGTTGGAGGGTTTTCCCAATCTTCCCAATGGTCTTACCACGGGTTTAGCTGGGGAGCAAGAGCAGGTTACCTGAAGCTGGTGAGAACGCGGAGGCAACGCGGAACATGGTTAGCCAATGCGGTCAAGAGTTTTCCACACACGTCTGATGTGCGCTCGAGCAGTTTCTTGGGGGAGGGAGAACTCGGGGGATGGGGGCGGGGAAGGTTGGGGGCACAAGGGGAGGGCGGAAAGTGGGGTGCGCTGCAGGGTGTGGAAGCGAGCAGAGTCCGGTGAGGTTTGGATGCGTGCACGCCCCCCCATTCCCCATGGGTTAGGGTGTGTTCAACCGCTAAGCTTTGGTTCAGGAACATGCGTGCACTGGCATTGGCATGTGTGACTCCTTTGGTCTGCAACACGCCCCCCAATTCCCCACACGCCTCCTCACACTGTCCGTTCACCACCCACCCACCTCCTCACACTGTCCGTTCACCACCCACCCACCTCCTCACACTGTTCGTTCACCACCCACCCACCTCCTCACACTGTTCGTTCACCACCCACCCACCTCCTCACACTGTCCGTTCACCACCCACCCACCTCCTCACACTGTTCGTTCACCACCCACCCACCTCCTCACACTGTCCGTTCACCGCCCACCCACCTCCTCACACTGTCCGTTCACCGCCCACCCACCTCCTCACACCCTCCATTACCAACACGTTCCTACTCACTCTTCCACTGCGTGTGGTGCTGCAACTACAACTGTCCGTGTTGTTGTTGCTGGTGTTGTTGGATGGGCGAGCAGGGACGCGGCGGAGAGAGAGAGGCGGGCGGCTATGGAGGCGGTAGAGCAGCGTGAGAAGGCGGAGAGGACCCTCGAGGCTACTGCACGAGAGGTGGACAGGCTGCGGGGTGTGGTGGGGCAGCAGCAACAACAGCACCAGCAGCAGCACGGTGAGTGTTTGTTTCTTAACTGTGCTCTTGCCTTTTCCAGGGATGTACGGATGAGATCTGATCGCAAATAGGCCTCATCCCACCCTCTCCACACGGCACGCAGCGGACTTTGATTTGCCGTGTTTTCGCTAGCCACCAGTGTTGAATCACTGGTACAATTTGAATCACCCAGTGTGCCAACACCAACACTCAATTGTACCTTCTCTCCCCAAGGCCCTGCACTAGCCGTGGAAACTTTTGACTTTTGAGGCGACTCAAAAGCCACCAGTGTCGCCATTTGAATCACTCAGTGCGCCAACACCAGCACTCAATTGTACCCTTTCTCCCGAAGGCCCTGCACTAACCGTGGAACTTTCCTGATGCTACTGCCTCTCTCTCCTCGTATCAACGTGACACTGATCTCTCACTGACAAACAAACTCCTTTACACTAGCGTTCATACTAACCCTTCTTTTCTCACCAACATTCGTTCTCTTTGCAGCAATGTATGGTGGGCAGCAACCGTTCATGGGGAGCGCAGCCACGCAGCAGCCCCCGTGGGCGCAGCAGGTAGCGCTGCAACAGCAGCAGCAGGGAGTGCAGCAGCCGCAGCAGCAGGCAGGGCAGCAGCTTGGGATGCAGCAGCTGGGACACGCAGGGCAGCAGAACGGCATTGCGGGCGGGCCTGCAAAGGCGGCAGCAGCGCAGCAGGGGGCAGACGGGGCAGCTGCTGTCGCAGCAGCAGGAGCAGCAGCAGGCGGAGGAGGTTCAGCACCAGGTGGTTCTGCCACTGACGGTACTGCAGCTGCTGCGGGCGCAGCTGCAGATGGGGCTGCTGCAGCTGATGCGGGTGCGGGTGGGGACGACCCGGTGGCGGAGTGTGGGTGGACAGAGCATGCAGCCCCGGACGGGCGGCCGTTTTACTACCACGCGGCCACCAACACGTCTGTGTGGGAGAAACCCCCAGAGCTCGCCCAGGCTGAGGCTAAGAAGGCTGATGCAGAGAAAGCAGCCGCTGCTGCCACCGCTGCTGGTGGCGCTGCTGGTGCTCCTGGTGCTGGTGGTTCTGCTGCGAATGGGAGTGTTGCGGGTGTTGCTGATGCTGCAGGGGAGAAGCAGCAGGATGTTGTGGACAAGCAGCAGCAGCAGCAGCAGCAACAGCAGCAGGAAAGCAGTGGAGGTGAGTTGGGGCTGTGAAGCATGGAGGTCTGCTGTGGCCGCCAGAGCAGCTGTGGGTGAGACACTCGCCCACTCGTCAATTTTTTGCCTGCTTCCTCCCCTCTCCTCTGTTCCCTGCTGCAAGTGCCAGCTGGTGGAGCTCTTGAGTCAACTCAAGTGTCACCCCTCCCCTGCGCACTTCCCTTGCCCCTATGTTGGAATATGCGCGTTTAGCGTATATGTGCGTTTCATTTATACGCTGGCGTGTATACGCCATACGCTTAAGGGTCAGATTGGGCATACGCTTTTTCGGGCAAGGGAAAAACTTTCCCGGGCAGGGTGAAAAAAAATTGTGCTCAACATCCGGGAAGGTAAGAACTCCCTACCCTATTCTCACCAATACTTCATTAGCATTTTACACGGTGGGTGGGGTGGGAGGTGGAGTAGATCGCTAGAAAGAGAAGTAGGTATCGGAAGGAACTCTGTTGGGCGGGAATGTAAACTAGAAATGACGAGAGGAGTTGGGCTGGCTGGCAGGTAAGTAGCGTGAGTGTGAGGTGGTTGGGGGAACATTTTTGACAGGTTGGAGTTTGTAGATAGGATGAGTTTCAATGCGGTGCAAATCGAAAGTTCAAATTGGACCTATCAGGAAACTTCAAAGGCACATTCCCGCTTCCCTGGACCGCCAGATTGCAATTCGACTTCGGCGAAATTCTCACCAGGAGAATCCGCATCTTTTCATATACTCAGGATTTTTTTCTTGGGCAGGCCCAAAAAAAATCTGAGTGTGTATAGCGTTTTGGGTATATACGCAAGCGTATAAACGCTATACGCTTTAGGGTCTGAGCGTATATTCCAACATAGATGCGGGAAACTGATGGGGGAAAGTGATGGGGGAATTTGATGTGGGAATCTGATGGGGGAAACTGATGGGGGAGTCTGATGGGGGAAACTGATGGGGGAAACTGATGGGGGAAACTGATGGGAGAAACTGATGGGGGGAACTGATGGGAGAAACTGAAACTGATGGGGGAAATTGATGTGCGAAACTGAAACTGATGGGGGAAATTGATGGGGGAAACCGATAGGGGAAACTGATGGGGGGAACTGATGGGATGGGTGAAACTGAAACTGATGGGGGAAACTGATGGGGGAAACTGAGTGCGTATAGCGTATAGCGTATAGCGTTTTGGGTATATACGCAAGCGTATAAACGCTATACTCTTTATAGGGTCTGAGCTAATATTCCAACATAGCCTTGCCCGCCCCTTGCTCCCCCCCCTCCCCCCACCCCTCCCCAACCCCCGCCTGTGTTTGTGGCAGTGACGCCCCTGGCGGTGTATGGGCTACCGGAGGACTACAGCGAGCGCCAGCTGGTGGAGCTGTTCCGCACGTACGGCACTGTGGTGGCCGTGCAGGTGGCTCGCGAGGGCACCAGAGAGCTGGGCTACGGTGAGTCGTCTTAGGGCCTGGGGAGCGGGGGGGCCTGGGGCACGGTCAGCTGGTGGAGCTGTTCTGCACCTATGGCACCGTGGTGGCCGTGCAAGTGGCGCGCGAGGGCAACCGGGGTCTGGGCTATGGTGAGTGGCTTTTGAGTGGCAGTTGGTGGGGGGAGGAGAGTGGGGAGTGGAACAAGGTTCAAAAATACGGTAAACGTAAATTACGGCTCGTAAATTACGATCGTAATTTACGATGGTTTTGGCAAAAATACGGTCGTTTTTTAAATGGACATTTTTTGCGGATTTTTTTTCCCAGAAATTCCTAGAAAGCTTACAACGATGACAAGGAAGGCGACAACATACTACACTACAGAATGGTGGTTTTTGCCCTGGTTTAACTTGGTGGTGTTGCGTTGGCGAATGGAATATGCAAAAGGGATGAGATGGAAGGGATGAAGACGAACGCTATTGGTTGGAATGGTTTTGCAGTGTCGAAATTGAGTTGAGTAGCGCATGCGGGCGAAAAAAACGAACGGGCCGCGAAACGACCCACCGACTTGGCGAAACGGGTAGACTTGTGTTATCCGTTCGCCAAATGTACAATTTGCCGCGTCGCACAAATTTGTACATTTGCGATTCGGCGAAATACACAAACGAGTGTGCGAATGGGCAACAAACCTGTTAAACTGTCACCAAAATGCACAATGTCGCGCCTCGAGATTTTGCTGACACTCGCGACTCGGGAAAAAAACACTCTCGAGTGGGTTTGGGGCCACAAAAATTCTCACGAACAGGTTGACGGTTGGGAAATGTTGAAATTCGCTATACACAAACTCGGTTTCAAACTTTCGGTCGTAATTTACAACCGTATTTTTGAACCAACCTAATTTTGCAACATCAAACCGTTTTTTACCGTAATTTACGACCGTAAATTACGATGCCGTAATTTACGGTAAAATTTCAAAAATACGGTCGTATTTTTGAATTTTGGAGTGGAATGTGGGGGATAGCATGGGAGCTGTTCCGCACGTACGGCACCGTGGTGGCCGTGCAGGTGGCGAGAGATGGCAACAGAGGGCTGGGCTACGGTGAGTGGTGCCTTATTTGGGCGACAAGGGGACAAGGGGCATGGCAGGCTGATGCAGGAGCTTTTTTGGAAACAGGAGCTTTTTTGGAAAGACACCCATTTCCAGTTTATGGTGATTAGGCACGTGTGGATCGAAAGAATACAAGCTATCTTTTATGCTACCCCACCCTCGCTGTCTTCCAACCAGGCTATGTCCACCTGGACTCGCCCACATCAGCGGACATTGCCACGTCAGCGTTGAACGAGCATCAACTGGGCAACCGGCGGTTGAGAGTAGAGCGATACACCGCCCCTGCCTCCGCTGCACAGCCCAAACCAGTCCAAGCCAGCCCGGCTCCTCTCGCCACTGCTGCCGCTGGTGGTAGTGCTTCTGCTTCCCCTGCTCCTGCTCCTGCTGCTGCTGCTGCTTCTGCCGGCGCTGCTGCTGCTGCTGGTAATGCAGGTGTTGGTGCGGGTGCAGGGATGGGCGGTGTGCCGGGGCAGTATCCCGTTGCTGCCTACAACCTCAACCCGCAGTCTCAGATGCAGCCGCAACTGCAAGGACAGCCCCAGCCCCAGCAGTACCAGCCACAGTTCCTTCAACAGCAGCAGCAGCAGCAGCAGCAACCGCAGCAGCAACAGCAGCAGTACCCGCAGCAGCAGCAGCAGCCTCAGTTCTACCCGCCCCAGCAGCAGTACTTGCAACAGCAGCAGCATCAGCCGCCGCCTCAGCAGCAGCAGTATCCTCAGCAGCAGCAGCAGCAGCAGCAACAGCAGCAAGGAGGGTTCCCCCAGCAGCAGCGCATGCCGCCGCCCGGCCAGCCCCCTGTGGATGGTCGCTTCGACCCGCAGCGACCCATTATCCGCTTCCCGCCGCCCGTCAACCCTGGCTTGGCCGGGCCTGGGGGAATGGGCGGGCCTGGGAACATGGGTGGGCCTGGAGGGATGGGTGTTCCAGGAGGGATGCCTGGGCCGGGAGCAATGGGTGGGCCTGGGGGGATGAGCGGGCAAGGCAGTGGTCCTGGTGTGCTTGCTCCAAATCCTGGAGCTGCTGGTGCTGCTGCTGGTCCTGGCATGGGTGGTGGGGGTCCAGGTGGTGCTGGTGGAGGCGGGGTAGGGCCGGTGAGGCGAGACTTTGGGCCTGCAGGAGGGTATGTTGGCTATCGACCGTATTGAGTTTGTTCTGACTTGTAGGATGCATCTGTTGCGATGCTTGAGGAAGTACATGAGAGCATTGTTGCCTCTATCTGGATGGTTGAACTAACAAAAGCTTAGCCAGCAATGCGTTTTCATAATTCCCGGTTAGGATAACAATTGGTACAGTCTACTGGTACTGTGTGCTTTATATAAAGGTGCAAGCGCAAACGGTGGCTTGTCGTCAAGCGAACGCTCCGTCTAGTGTCTTCCACGTCAGCATATCTGGCCGTTCGGTACTGCTGGTCGATATCATTGTGCGCCGACGATATCAATGAGGGACGCCTATCTTTCGCAACCATCGCATACATGTGAAGGATCCACAAGCGATTGCCTTTTTCCCGTTCGCTCATCTCGCGCGAGTCCCGACGTCGCACAGTGGAATCCAACCCAACATATTGACTGTGGAGAGAGCTGTTCCGCCCTCGGGATTATCCAGTTTGAGGCCGCTAGGGAAGGGAGGGAAGGCAGAACAAGAAACCTCAGTTCTGTTCCACCTCATTTCACTGACCCTCACATCGAATCTCTGTAGCTTGCAGGTGAACAGCGCTCACTGACAACGCAACACGCGCCTCTATGTCAGCCATGCTAAGGTTGTCAGGCATGACAGTTAGGCGCATGAACAGAACAGCCATGTCGCCCAACTCTTGTTCCGTAGCTCTATCATTGGCGAGGGTTTTCACATGTTGCATTCTTTCCAGTCGAGAACTCCACCAAAACCATTGTTGGTCGGAAGCGTTTACTAGTCATCTAGGCTCGCGAAACCTCCAGCTGTTCCGATGTATACCAGATCCAGCCACTCTGAAAGGGATCGATGAGTCGTGTTTGCCCATTGCGCGGCTTCGCTTAGGATTCATATCATCGCGAGCTACTGTTACCATTTCGCTTGAGCGTCTGTTTTCCGCAAATACAGTCGCTCATATCCGTTTCCATCGATGGCGGAAGCGGTAGTCATTGCGCGGATGCGGAAGAAAGTAGCGGAGGAGCAGACGTCGCTGACTCGCTCGCACAGCCTGCTGGAGGACAAGTTCGGCGCGTATGAGAGGGCGAACCGTCAGATGTGGGCTCGCTCCTCGTCCTTCGCTGATAGTTCCGGGTTAGTTCTATAGATAAGTATAATTTGGCATCACACAGGCTTGTCAAATATCCTCACATCGCGGTTCGACACTGGAGTTTTATGGACTTCTGTTTAAGGAACCGTGAATGTTTCTGTTTCCGCCTGCATTGACATTGAAGTTGTCCGCTGAATGTCAATCAAGACCAAAGGTTCCGTCTGTTGACGATTTTAGAAGTTCTCAAAAGTGTTTACCATTTTATTCGTAACCTTTATCGTTTCTACTTTCCCTCCTCATTTCCTGCCTTCACCCTTGTCGCCAGCGCTTCTCCAGACGCAAACGGCGCGAAAATATCGTCACGAAGTCCTCTCGGCCAATCGCCGCTTTATCCTCATGCTGTATCCAACTCGTCGCACGATCACGGTGGGGAGGAAACGGATGCGGAAGAAGATTCAAAACGTGGGTTTGGGAGCTACACGGAAAACCACCTGGCGGAGCAGAGGCAAGCATACCCTTCGAGACAAACAGGAGGTCTTCAGGGGGAAGGCGACGGCAATAAACAGGTCGAGATTAGCAGCGGGGGAGAGGGACGTGTGGGGAATGGTGGCAGAATCGGCGAGGAGGCAGGCCGAGATAATAGGAACGGCAAGACACAGGAGTGCTATGGGGGAGCATTTTGGCGACAAAAAAGCGGTAACGCCTGGAATGGCCTCGACTCCACCTTCCAGTACTTGGGAAAAGGTTGGCTCTGGGGCGAGTCGAGAGAAACCAGTAGGAATGAAGGAGATGGGGGCGACGGCTGTGAGGACAGCTATGGTAAGGAGAGGGGATGCGAGGATGCGGCGTGCGGCGCCGGGAGAGGCGGTGGGGAGGTCGAGCCTGCGACGCGCTCGCTGCCGCACATGGATTTGATACGAGAGGACGGCGACGACGAGGATTTGATACTAGCGAACGAGCTGGAGGAGATCGATAAGGAGGTCGTGCAAGGTGGGTGCTGCTGGTTGCACCTCCTGATCCCTGCGAGTTTGACGTGTATTCGGCTCGTGTGTTAACAGTGCGTGCTCGAGCGCTTTACGAGGTGCCTAGTGCCCGTTATTCAACAACATCCTCCTTCTTCCTCCTCCCTCTGGTGGTTTTGTTGGCCATGTCTGTTGCTTCTGGGGGGCGTGCAGAGGTGTTCAATCGGGTCAGCCTGCTGCGCTCACAGGTGCAGCACTACCGCGCTTTGGGCGGGTTCGTGCTGCTGATGGCGCTGTTCGTGGCAATGGTGTATCTGCAGGCCGACTCCTCCCGCACCTACCAAGTCACCGCAGCCCACTCCGTCCTCATCCCCTCCGTGAGCCCCCTCGCTCTCCCACCACATCTGTTACTTGCCCTCTCGTTCCCGTGGCACCTTAGAATGACCCTTCTCGTTTCCACCGCTCTGATCGCCTCTTGTTTCCCACATACACCACTGTGATGACCCAAGGGTCCACACTCACGACACCATACACCCACCCCACTTTCCCGCCTTCCATCCAGAACTTTGCACCGGATTCGTCCAATCGGTTTGCAGGAGCCGCGAGCTTCTACGCGTGGCTGAACGGCAGCATCATCGAGCACTTCTGGCAGGACCCGCCCTGCGGGGATGGCCTCTGCGACCAGCCACTAGAGTTCCCCGCATTCGGCCGCTTCGGCTGCGAAGCAGACTGCGGCACGTTCCCCAACCTCACCTCCGTCTCAATCCATTTCACGACGTCATTTTCATCAAATGAGGTCCTGGCGTTGTCCTCATGGAACCTGTGCATGCAGAGCCCCATCTCGCTCTGCTGGCACGCCCTCCCCCAGCCCTTCCCCGCGCTGCACGCCCAGTTCTCCCTCGCCCTCGACATCCCCGACGGCCAATGGGCGCTGCTCATCACCGCGCCCATGGGGGGCGTGCAAGGCGTGCTGCAGGCGCAGAAGCCGGGGATGGGGCATCTGAGTGGGGACGTGACGATGGGGTCGAGTAACAGCGTTACGCTGGCTAGCTGGGGCGGGTGCTTGGGAGGGGAGGGATTGTCCGCGAGAGATTTGAATGCCACGCTGCTTCAAGACGGAGGCGATGTGTGCCGGCAGGTATGTGGCCGTGGCTGTGTGCTGTGCTGAAGGTTCGTGTGTGTGTGTGTGTGTGCGTGCGCATGCATGCACCCGTGCAACTGCTCCCATGTACGCTTGTGTTGTGCATGGTGTGCCCAACCGACTCAATCCACATGTCTTTTATTCTGACCCCTTGCCCCTCCCAGGCCTGTGAGTCCGTGGCAGTGTGTCTGAACGCTGCTTGTGGGCGGGAGGTGGCAGCAAGGGAGGTGGCGGGCGCGTTTGTGGATTGCGTCAAGATCTGCCGAGCCTCGCCGTCCACGATCCTGCCATACGCCACCATGTCGTGTCTTCAGGTGAGTACATTATTATGCTGTGCCGTGCCTTCAGGTGATTGCATCAGTATGCTGTGCCTTGAGGTCAGTGCCATACCCTGACAGTACAGTAATATGTTGCAACACTGACAACCCATTCCGCTTCTTCCCCCCCTCCTGCAGATCGTCGCTGTCAAACCGTCCCTTTTCCCCAATTCTCTCTGCACTGGTATGTACTACCTCCCAACACGTTATTCTTTTCCATATTCGTTTCTTACTTCTTGAAGTCAATGAAGCAATGTGCTCCTTGGAAGTAAGCTTCCAAGCTTACAGGCCGCAACGACATGTGACCTGCTTTCCTGGTCTGCACTGCTCTCGCTCGTCCCTGTCCTCTTCGCTCCCCGTGCTCCTCAATCATTCCTGCTCTTTGCGTTGCAGCAAGGGATCGCCGGCAAACGCAGGAGACAGTCGCACCAGCATTGTCTGGGCAGGGAATGGCTGCTGCATCTGCTGCGAGTTCTGCAGCTGCTGCGGGGGAGTTTGAGGGTGTGCTGCCGAGCAGGGTGGTGGCGGATAGGGCTGCGGCAGCAGCGAATGCCGTGGGGGCGAGTGGAGGAAATTGGAGCAGCAGAAGCACTAGCAACGCAGCAGTGGCAGGCACCAACGCCAGTGGCAATGACACTAGTGCTGCCATTGCCGATTCCAGCTTCTTTCCCCCACCCGTGCTCCCTCCGGCTGCTGACATGCGTGAGTGATGATGTTTAGATTGAAAACATTAAAGTTTCACCCTTTGCCCATGATAACTCACAGCATATCAGCTTTCTCCCGTTGTGTTGACATGTCGGTCCCAACCCCCCTCTTCCCCTCCCTCTTCCTCTATTTTACAATAAACCCCCTTCTTTCTCCTTCTCCCCTCACTTTCTCCCCATCCTTACACCTCCTTCTTAGAGTTCCGTGCTCACCGTCTTCCTTCCCCCCTCTCCTCTTTCTTGCTGCCCCCCTGCATGCAGAGCTGCCACATCTATCAGAGGCGCCAAGGGCGTGGGAGCTGCTGGGGTCCACAGAGAAGCAGCGCCTGAGAGCGCTGCAGGTGGCAGTATCCCGAGCCATCTACACCATGGTCAAGGACAGCTGCCTTGCCGGCCCCTACATGCTCGGCCTCTCCGTGCGCTACCGCCTGCGCCTCACCGCCTTCCTCTGCACGCTGCTGGGCGGGCCTGTGCTGGACCAGCCGCTGTGCCGGTTTGCGGATTTGAGGGGGCACCAGCTGCTGCGCGCCCAGGAGCTGTTTGGCCACCTGAAATACGTGCACCGCGGCATGTAAGTGCTGCGGGGTTGGCCACCTGAAATACGTGCACCGCGGCATGTAAGTGCTGCGGGGTTGACCACCTGAAATACGTGCACCGCGGCATGTAAGTGCTGCGGGGTTGGCCACCTGAAATACATGCACCGCGGCATGTAAGTGCTGCGGGGTTGGCCACCTGAAATACGTGCACCGTGGCGTGTGAGTGCTGCTTGACTCGTCTCCACGGTGGTTCCACGTTTCCATCACTGTCAAGGGCTGTTACTGTACCGTGTACCCCTGTCCTCCTTCCCCTGCAATGCTTCATTCCCCGTTCCCCGCCTGCCTCTTCCCTCTCCTGCTGTCACTACCTCCCCCTGCTGTCTCTACCATCCCCTTCTTACCCTCCTGCCATCTCTGCCCCCTCCCACCCACCCTCCTCCCCTGCCGCCGTCTCTCCCCTCCCCTGTGGCGCCGCTGTGGCAGCAACAACAAGGCAGTGTCATCACAGCAGCTGAGGCGCTTCATAGACATTCTCATCGCCGCCCTGCAGTCCGTCACCTCCATGCCCCCCCAAGCCGCTGCCGACCTCTCCTCCTTCTTCCACCGCTTTGAAGATGCCATCGTCAGCACCAACATTGCTGGCTGCTCCCAAGGTGAGAAGTTAGCATGTGAGAAATTCTTGAGAGCTTGGATTGAAAGAATCCTCTGATTGCTTCCAAGGCAGGTGCTCTCAGTCTGCCAGTGATGATTTTCTTGTGCATTAGCAGTGGTGGTACCTTTTCACATGAGCTTGTGCAAAGCAGAACACACTGTGCAAATGTGAACCTTCCATTCTTGTTCCTTGTCTCTTCGTCCCTTCGCTTCCCTTCGTTCTCTTCCTCCCTTCGCCTTGGCGTGTTCAACCTGTCATGCTTCTTACCTTCCCCACCATGCAGGAGGCACGTGGCTGCAGTGGCGGGCGGGTGTGAAGCACAACACGACCATCCATGTGGGTGACAAGGTCACCTGGGTGTGGGATGACGACCTCCCACACTCCCTCAGAAGTAAGCTCGCCTTTAATGCTTCTCGCGCTTCTCCCGCTCCTCTGCTGCTTCGTCCGTCGCTCGTCCAATTCACCCCTATTCTCACCCCTACTCACCCTGTGCTCTCCCTCTGCCCACGCCAGTCGCGGGAATGGGCGACGCACCCACGCCCTTCTTCCCGGGCTTTGGCGGGCACCGCTTGGCAGTGTCGCGCCTCTTTGCCTGCTCGCCCATGACCGCCGGGGAGGACGACGACTACGACGACCCCGTGCCCTGTGTTTTAAGTGAGTCCCGCCCTCCTCTTCCCCCCTTTCCCTTCGTGCTGCTTGAAGCCCGACACGTTCCCCCTTGTTTCCTCTCCCCCCCCTTCCCCCTTCTGCATGCTGTGTATGTCTCGCCGTCTTCCCCCTCCCCCCTGCGTCCCTTCTGTGTCATCATTGCACACACAGCCCAGGATTCCTTTCCCCCAACCCCTCGGCCTTCACTCCTCTGCAGCCCCCATCCCAAGCCCCCTAACCCTCCCTCCCCATCGTCCTGCTGCTTGCAGAGCTCCCAGGGGACAGCAACGCCAGCTTCACGTACTCCAAGGACTCCACCCAACCGGGCACGTACCACTATGAGAGCGACTTGCGCCTCAGAAGTCCTCATGCCCTCCCCCCCACCCCTGTTCCCCCTTTCTTCTCCCCCAGAGCTCCCAGGGGACGTCAACGCCAGCTTCACATACACCAAGGTCTTCACGCTCCCAGGCACGTACCGCTATGAGAGCGGCGGGCAGGACGCAGGCGAAGCAGCATCGTCCGCTTCCTCCACCGCGGGTGGTCTCCTGCCGCCCGCCATGTCTGGCATGGTCACTGTGCTCGTGCCACCGCCCGAGGTACCAGGTAGGCGTGCCTGTGAGTATTTGTTTCGTTGTTCTCAACCATCACTACCAGCCTTGCGCTCCCGCACTTTCTCACTCCACTCTTTCCACGTCCCATACTTTCTCTACTCGCCTACATGCCCGTCAGATCAGACACGCCCGTGGCCCACCCCCTCTCACTCCCTCCCGCCCCTTCCCACCCCCTCCTCTTCCCATTGCCCTTCAGACCTGGCGTTCCAGTGCTCTCCGGGGTGCTCCATGCACATGCTGGCGGACGGGGTGTGCAACCCCCCCTGCAACACGCCCGCCTGCACCTTTGACGGCGGCGACTGCGGCTGCATTGACTCCGTGCTCGGCCCTGGCTTCTGCGCCTGCCCCCCCGGCCACGCGCGGCGCCACGACGGAGGTGCGGCCTGGGGCATGGCGGGAGGGGGTGGAAGGAACAAGGG